GACTCCGGCGGGAACCCCTGATCCAACATGGGCTACCAACCAACCAAACAACCATCACCACCACCAACACCACCGTCAGCATCATCATCATCATCATCATCATCATCATCATCATCAACCTCAGTATTATCATAAATATAATCAACACCACCATCATCATCATCATCCTCACCATCATCATCCTCAGCATCATCATCATCATCATCATCATCATCATCATCATCATCATCATCATCATCGATCATCATCATCATCATCATCATCATCATCATCATCATCATCATCATCATTAACCATCATCATCATCATCATCATCATCATCATCATCATCATCATCATCATTATCGTCATCATAAATATAATCAACACCACCATCATCATCATCATCCTCACCATCATCATCATCAAATCATCATCATCATCATCATCATCATCATCATCATCATCATCACCATCACCATCATCTGAGATAAAGCTCTTTGGGGAAAGTCCGCTATTATTGCAATTACATGCCCTACACCACAACAGAGATGCTGCGATTAGAAACTTTAAACTAATTTAACAGTCATAAGACCAGTTGGCGAGCATACCTTTGCATGTGATAAATTCTCGTCGAACTATCCAGCTTATAGGAGGGTGGGAGGTACAAGTTAAGACATGTCTTCTTTCAAGGGGATGCGGCAAGTGAACGGTCGAGAGGACAATATGACCTCAAGGAAACTGAGGCTGGGGCTGCTATTACTATCTGTACTATTACAACTAACGAGGAATGTAGCTGGTTGTTAGTAATACGGACACAATTTCTGTCGTTAGTATTTGTCGGAGGTTTTGCTGACCAAAGTCAGTGCTGAGGCTCATATCACCTCGATCTCAACAAGGAGGGTGAATCTGCGTTTATGTTATTCCGCGTAAATTCATGGTTGAGGCCCGGAGCACATGAAGGCTTGCCTTTGTTTGCGCCCTCTCACCTCTGTCCACCAAAAGCTGTGTCACATTTTGCTACGGTTGAACTAGGATGCTGCTTCTGCAGGTAATATGCCACTGCTAAGAGTGCTAATTCTAGTAGTCAGACTTTCTAAGACCAGCGGATATTATATTCTAGTAATCTATTCCTATAATTTTATCAGTAGCTGGCTTGCATTCTATTTTTTAAAACAAACGTAACGGATGGGGGAATATGAGCTTACGCGCGTCCTAAACTTCATCCTGGTTGATTTGTAAGACACCCGAGCGAGCGCGTACCTCCGGTAGGTCAGTGTCTGCTAGCAACTACAGCAGGTCGTGTGCGCAAAGGGACCTCCTACAGGTTCCACGTTCAGTAGCGGTCGCTTACTTGCCTATACTCCAACCATCCCTTTTCCCTCCTCCCCCCCCACCCGGCCCGGGAAGGGCACCACCTAACCCTCGGTGGTACGTTATCAGTCCCCCAAATGTATACAAAGACCACCATTAGTGCTCACGTGTCTCAACTTTTACCCCTTATCACAAAAATGTCCAAATACATCGAGAAGTTATCGAAAACACACCTATACTCACTCGGTGGTCTTCAGAGACCTTCTGAATTTTAGTCAGCAAAAAACGTCAGTAGCATTTTGGTGTGGTTGAGGAAATAGTACGAATGGTGACGATACAGTTGAACAGCACGTAGGGAGGGCCTGGCAGATGGGGGACTATGGGCTTGCTATGTCCTTGCAATATATTTAGCGAGGGGAAAGGGTAATATCCCCTCATCTTTACCAACCATAACCTAAAACTGAACTGTAACCATAATCTTAACCATAATCCTACACTTAACATGAATCCCATAGCTAAAAGGAACCCAAACCCTAACCGTCAAGCCCGACCCTAATTACAATTTTGAACTTAGCCGGCAAATTTCGTTTAAGTAGTGCACCTCCTATTCCTATAGGCCCGGAATTTTGTCTTACGGAAGCGGTGGTTATAGGGGGGGTTTGGAGTAGGGAAATATGATGGGCAATGAAATAAATTTGTATAAGTAAGTGTAAATTGGAAAAAAAAACGTAATTTCATTTGTTTCCCGCGGCCACTGGGACTAAGTTATCCCGCTTGTAAATTGAAGGTGTGTGCGGCGCTTTGCGCTGAGGACTATACTAATCTAACTCCAGAACGGTAAGTTGGACCTCACATAAGTTGAAGTAGACGACCTCCCTACCATCACTTCTATTTTTTCTAGAATTTCAAGAAACCTGAATTTTGATAATCAACTTTTTCTGCAAAATACGCTAAACGATAATACAGATTAGGAAAGTCTACAGGTATAAATCAACAAAATATCTAAATACGATACAATAAAATGCATATAGCAGTTATTTCATTATATTTCAATGCATATCCTAATTCCCTACCCATAAAACCCCTAAAACCACGCTTTCCATAGGAAAAAATGCTGGGACTAGGGGTATATGAGGCGCACTACTTAAACTACTGTTGCCATTTAGCCCTATACTTAACCCTTAACCTAGCATTTAGAAGAACACAGCTAGAACATGGCTTACTATAAAAGGAAAACGCATAGCTCAAAATACAACCTAATATGAAATAAAGTTAGAGGAATATTGCCCACACAAACAGGGGGGACTGGAATGGCTGGTCTTAATGCATTAGCCTTCATCAGACAGTCAGATAATGCACCACCCTATGTTTGAATCTGCGACCTATTGACTGGAAGTCCAACAGTCTAACCCACTGCGCTACGGGCTCATTGTACTGCCTGTTGAGATCGGGAAAATTGGCAGTAGTTGATGAACACGCACCTCTTTGGCACAGTAGGTCAGAAATTTTGACTCCCAATCCACATGTCGTGGGTTTTAGCCTTGGTTTATGCTCAACCTGGACAGACTTACTTGCCTACCGGACGTGAACGTTCTCCCGGGTGTCTTACACATCAGCCCAAATGAATTTTTTGGACGTGCATAAGCGGCCTACGCCCGATGCCGTTCGGTCAGCTTGACTTTTTCTAGTACCCTATTCAAACGGGCAAAGGTTTAGGGTGAGGTAGACGATTGCCCGTCTAGTTCACCTAAATCTCATCTTTGTCTCCAGTCACCATTCCTGCTCTTGGACATATGGTGGACATAATCGAAATTGATGGTCA